TCACATTTCTAGCAATTAGAGAAATGCAAATTGAAACTACTTTAAGATTTCATCTCACTCCAGTCAGAATGGCAGCTATTAACAACACAAACAACTATCAGTATTGGTGAGGATGTGAGGAATAAGGCACACTCACACATTGCTGGTGGAACTGCAAACTGGTGTAGCCAATATGGAAAACAGTATGGAGAATCCTTGGAAAACTGGAAATGGAACCACCATTTGACCCAGCTATCCCTCTCCTAGATCTATACCCAAAGGACTTAAAAACAGCATACTACAGGGACACAGCCACATCAATGTTTATAGCAGCACAATTCACAATAGCTAAACTGTGGAACCAACCTAGATGCCGTTCTGTAGATGAATAGATAGGAAAGATGTGGTATATATACACAATGGATTATTATTCAGCATTAAAAGAGAATAAAATCATGGAATTTTCAGGTAAATGGATGGAGCTGGAGAATATAATGCTAAGTCAAATTAGCCAACCCCCAAAGACCAAACACAGAATCATTTCTCTGATTTAAGGATGCTTATTCATAATATGCAGCAGGCGAGGGGTGGAGGAGATGGGAAGATTAATTGAACTCTAGATAGGGCAAAGGAGAAAAGGAGAGGGAGGGAAAGAGAGTGGGTGTAGGGGTAGGAAAGATGGTGGCATGTGATGGTCATCATTACCCTAAGTACATGTATAAAGACACCACGGATATGACTACTTTGTGTACAACCAGAGATACAAAACATTGTGCTCTATATGTGTAATATGAATTGTAAAGCATTCTGTTGTCAAATATAACAAATTAAAAGAAAATAAATGAAGCTATTTATGTCTGGTAGGTGTACAACCAGAATTTGGGATAGGAGGAGGCCAGATGAGGGAGAAATGACTGTCTTTTTAGGAGTTCCCTTTATATGCCAGGGTTTGGGCATAGGTGGAACAAATGAAGATACAGGAGAAGAAAACTGCCTTTTTATATTAGAAGGAAATGTTCCAGGAACCTACTTTTCAGATGACAAAAGAGACTAAAGGGACCAATTTGTCCAAAGCTTTAAAACCAGAGTTAGTTCAAAATTGAGTCTATCTACAGTGAAGTATTCTGTCTACTGTCCCATGCTGCCTATAAACCTCTGTCACTAGGGAAAAGCAGGGAGGACTCTTAGGCACTGTTCTTCAAAATTTATCAGCTTTCTTCCAAAGTGAAGCTTGGGGCTATGCCAATGCAGAGAGCAAGACATACTTTTTTAACTTTTTATTTTAAGATAATTATAGTCTCACACAGTTGTAAGAAGTAATACAGAGATATCTTGCATATTCCTTTGATAGCTTCTCTAAAAAGTCTGTATACTAGACCCTCTACTTGGTGCTGGGACTATAGAAACAAGATTTTCTTTACCCTAAAGGACTTTAAAAGCTAATGGAAGCCTATAAAGCTATCATTAATAAGAGATGATTAAAGCAAAATGTAACACTATAGTCAGCTCTCAATTATCAAATAATAGTAATGACATTCTAGCTAAACAAGTGTGAAACAGACACCTAACTGCTCTATGTCTCAGTTTTTTCATCTGTAAAGTAGGAGTAATCATAGCATCTGTACTACAGGATCAATGTGAACATTCACAGAATACAGAATCTGGGTATTTTAGTTAATATTAATATTGCATCCATCATTAGGATTCTGTTCCCCATTCTAAAATTGCTCTATAATGCACTTATAGAACTTTTATTGGGAAAAATTTCAATTGCTCTTTGTTAAAACAAGTGTCTCACATTGTGAGCTAGTGGTTTGCCTTATCTTAGATAAGGACACTGAGAAGGGGCAGCTAATCCACCTTGGAGAACATAGAGCGATCTCAGAAGGATCACTAAAAGAGAAGATGAGATCTGAGCTGATTTTTTTTCTGGTACTTTCTTTCCTTCTAGTTCATGCTTCATATTTTTGATATAGGTATATATTTTGCCTATATGGATTATACTGTAGACTATTTTTATATCTTCTTTTCAATGCCCACCAATATATTATTAACACAAATTCTTGTCAATTACCATATGGATTTTCTTACAATACAATCATTATGTTTATTTTATCCTTAATTCCATCCAGTTGGCTACACCTATAATAGTTTGACTTTTGATATCTTTGACTTGGTGATGGTGTGAAAATGACATGAATTCAGTGGAAACTATCACTCAAATTTTGAATTTTGACTTTTTCATGGGTTTGTGATGTACAGTATGCCCCATTCTTACAATACTGGGCAGTGACAGCGAGCCACAGAGGCTGATTTTGAAAATCAACAATTTAGGGAGGAAAAAAGGCAGGAGAGAATTCAAGGCAAATGAAACATTAAATAAACATTAGATTCCTAGTAATTTTGAGGCAGAAGGGGGCCCAAAGATCATCCAGTCCTACTTTTCATCCTTTGCAGCTCTTCCTTGCAACCTGTTCATGGATTTTTTAAATGTACTCCTTACTTGATGAAGCTACCTATTCCAGATACTTAGCTGCTGTTGACATTTACATGCATACACCTCAAAGCAAAATCCAAACAACATACCCACATGAGCAGATGATTCAGGGTATAAGAGCAATCCATCAAGGCAACAGTCCTCACCTACTACAAGGTTGTGGCGTTTGTGATTAGGGTTCCAATGCCTTACAAACATTAACAACTCCAAAATTTTTTAAATGCAAAAGCCTTGAGAGCATTAAAAATTTAGGCAAGTAGCACTATGTTATTTTGGAAAAAAACAGAGGAAGCTAAAAATATGAAAATGGTGATACCCTTACTTTTTATAATATAATTGGTCCTAGAAGGAAAAAATAAATCCTGTATCATGTCAAAATTATTATGATGGTACTCAACACAACATACAGGGCAGAACAGAAAAATGGTTAAGTGTGTGACTAGAGTGGCAATATCAATATTGTATGCCAATATGAGAACACTAGAAATACATTTAGGAACTTAAAGGCTGAGCCTGGTAAGCAGCTTTATTGTAAGCCTGTAGGCTGAAGGTAGTTCAAGCTCAACAGTATCAGTGAGTATTATATGAGCAGGTGCAGACCCCACAGCCACGTTACCTCTCGGCAAATTTGAAGCAAAACTAAAATTGAACTGTGTGATAGAGAGAGCATTACAAATCAGTGAGAAAAAATTAATGTGTTGAGACATCCAGATAAATACTTGGGACCTTCACTCTTCACATCAAAATTAATTCCTGATAAATTTTTTAAAGTGAAAAATAAAATGATAAAAAGGAAAATTTTAAGATTTTCAAAGTGGTAACGAGTTTTCTAATATGACACAACATCTGGAAGTAATAAAAAATTTTACATGAGAAAATATCATCAAAGACTAAGATTATAAAAAATTATAATTCATGTCACAGGTGAAAAACCTCTCTTCATAATATATTAAGCTCTCCTTCTAATCAACAAGAAGAATACCAGCAATTCAATGAAAAATATGAGCAAAATACGTGAACAATTTGCAGAAAAATATAATAGGTCATAATCACATAAAAATGCTCAATCACAAAAAATACAAATTCAAATTAAACTGCATATTATTCTCACCTATAAAACTTGGAGACCTCAAAAATATTATCATACATTCTTATTCATTGATGGTGAGTTGTACATTGGTAAAATTTTTATGGAGGGAAATTTGGTACTATCAATCAAAATTGTAAATGTGCAGTCTTTGACCTAGTAATTCCATTTCTAAGAATTTATCCTTCATATATATTGAGCATATGTATAAGGTTATTTGTTGCTTCATTGTTTATAAGATCAAAGATAGAAAGTCACCTGATTGTCTCTTATTGTCAAACTGCTAAGTGGCTATTTTCAAAATGAGGCAAATATTTATGATCAGATATGAAAACACCATTAAGATATATGGTTAACTGGAAAAAGCAAAGTGTATACAACATTCCTTGATATGAGTTCATAATAGAAAGATAGTCATATTATACATGGAAATAGGTAGATTTTTGCTTATGTATATTCAGATTTTTGCTTGTATATATTTAGAATACCTGAAGGTATTCTACCTAGTAAATACCTAGTAAAAATGGTTGTTTCCTTGGAAGTGTACCTGATGCTGGAGGTTAGAGGTAGGGGAGAGAGAAACTTTTTACTGTAGTGCAGTTTTTTATCTTTTGAATTTACCAGGAATGCTAGTTATTCAAAATAAAGTCAATCAAAAAGTCAATTCCCTCAGAATAAATCTCTTCTTCTCTTACACCTGTTTGTTTTTCTTGCTCTTTTGCTGTCCTTGCATATTTTTATTACTAGCAAAACCATTAGCTCCTTGAGTGCTACAATTCTGTCTCCATCATGATTCCATCCCCAGCATTATCACAGTGTCACAAAAAGGGATTTTTTTTTAATGATGTTTTGAAAGATGATGAAAACCCTTTTCTTGGAATAAATCTGGCCACCTTTAAACAAGGCTGTTAAATACTCTTTCATCCAATCTGGGGATACTGCCTTGAAACATGTCCTTACCATTTAAGAGGATGAAAGAAAGGGAAATGCTGAAACTGACTTAAAGATCTGTCTGGACTCCTGCGCACTGCTGCTAAGGAGAACCCATGTGGGAAAATGTGATTGTGTCCATGGATGAGAAGGAGATTATTTAAACTCTTATAGGATCCATATTCTAGTTAATTCAGTTGATTTCTTCCTGGCACACATATCCTTCACAAGGGCAAGGTTGAGTGACATTTTTATTAGCAATAATCTCTGCCTTCTTCTGATTATCTAGAGATTTAAGACCACATAATCATCCTCCACTTCAGAGTAGGGCAAGAGGAGGAGGGAATAGGCTAAGAGGCCCCAAATCCCTCCTAACACTTGCTTCTTCCCTATCAGCAAGATTAGTCAACCGCGCACTGTTGACTATGCTCAGACCTAGCAGGCCAGGCAGGGCCGAACTGGGCTTTCCAGGGCCTGAGGAGCAGCATTTCTGAGAGCAGGGCCTGGGACCTCAGGGGCACTTGTCCAGGCAGGTCTCTCGGAGACAGTAGCAGTGACCAGGCTAAGGACCCTACGACAATCAGGGTAACAAGCAAGAGATCTGACTCCATCAGCCATGCTGAAACAGACTAACAAGAGGAGAGGGTCTTGGAGCTACAAACCCTGGAGTGCTCTGGAGAGTGAGGACCCTCCAAGTACAGGTACCAACCAACACCGCAGGAGCTCCACAGGGACTCGCTCAGGCTCCCACGGCAGCATTACGCCATGGACCGAGGTCAGATATAACTACTACATCGAGGAGGACGATAGTGGCGGGGAGGAGGAGGAAGAGTGGAAGGACAACCTTGCCAAGGAGGACCAGCAGCCAGGAGAGATCACCACTGCACAGCTGGATGGCCATACAGACACTCCAGCCCACTTGTCCATGCTGAACGTGAATGTTGGCGGCCACAGCTACCAGTTAGATTACTGTGAATTGGCCAGCTACCCCAAAACACGCCTGGGCCGCCTGGTCACCTCCATGACCCGCAGCCGCCAGCTGGGCCTGTGTGATGACTATGAGGCAAAGACAGATGAATACTTCTTCGATCGTGATCCAGATGTCTTCCAGCTCGTCTACAATTTCTACACATCAGGGGTTCTGTTAGTGCGAGATGAGCTGTGCCCTCAAAACTTCCTGGAGGAGCTGGGCTATTGGGGCGTGAGGCTCAAGTACACACCACGCTGCTGCCGAATCTGCTTCGAGGAGCGTCGCGAGGAACTGAGCGAACAGCTCAAGATCCAACGCGAGCTGCGCGCACAGGCTCAGGCGGAGGAGGCTGAAGAGCTCTTCCGCGACATGCGCTTCTGTGGAGCACAGCGGCGCCGCCTCTGGAACTTCATGGAGAAGCCCTTTTCATCTGTGGCTGCTAAGGTCATGGGGGTGGCCTCCAACCTCTTTGTGCTCATCTCAGTGGTGACACTGACACTCAACACCGTGGAGGAGATGCAGCATCAGGCAGAGGAGGGCACAGGTGGCGACCCGGGGTCCATCCTGGAGCACCTGGAGGTGCTGTGTGTAGCGTTCTTCACGCTTGAGTACCTGCTGCGTCTTATCTCCACACCAGACCTGCGGCGCTTTGCGCGCAGTGCCCTCAACCTAGTGGACCTGGTGGCCATACTGCCGCTTTACCTGCAGCTGCTGCTCGAGGGCTTCACTGAGGAGGTTCAGGGGTACAGCAGGGGCTCAACACATGATCAAGACCTAGAGACGGTGGGCCGTGTGGGCAAGGTGGGCCAGGTATTACGCATCATGCGCCTCATGCGTATCTTCCGCATCCTTAAGCTAGCTCGCCACTCCACGGGACTGCGTGCCTTTGGCTTCACGTTGCTCCAGTGCTACCAGCAGGTGGGCTGCCTCCTGCTCTTTATCACGTTGGGCATTTTTACCTTCTCTGCAGCTGTCTACTCCGTGGAGCATGACGTGCCTGGCACCAACTTCACCAGCATCCTTCAAGCCTGGTGGTGGGCCGCGGTGAGTACCATGACCCCTGAGTTTCTCTATTCTCTTTTGTATCCAGACACTACTCTTTTCATCCCATCACAAAATGGGAATTGATGTTAACAAGTTGGAAAGACGTAGACATTTATAGTCTAGTAATTAACTAAACTTGACTTGGTCTCAAGAATCTTTAAATCCTGATTTAGTCTTAAAATTCTTGACAGGCAGATTTTAAGAAAGATTCATTGTGAGTGTGGGTTGTTTCATTGTCTTCGTTTTTATTAATTACAACCTATGGATCATCCAATATCCTAAATGGTTTATAAAGTTTATGTCAGGGATGTGACAGTTACAATCACCATTTTCTTAAAAAAAAAAAGGCAAGGTAGGGGAGAAAAGTAGGAAATTGCTTCTGTTTTCAAGGGAAGCTGTAGATTTATGCAGAGGAGTGAGATTTGACTAAATCTCTAAAATTCCACTGCTTTTGGTTCTAGTTAAATATATGTGGAAAGAAACATCTAATATGACACTAGTTCTAAGTATACAAAAGTTCTTTCAGAATTACCTATACTTTTTCCATTGTACAGCTAGAGGACAGGTACAGAGAGTTTGGGTGCAGACACACAGCTCTGGGTTCAAAGCTAGAATTAAAACCCTGTGCCCTTTGCACACCCTGCACTATCTCTTCTAAACTTTAGTTACTTTGCATACCTTGCCTATTTGTACAGCTAATGTATTAATTATTTTTTCATTGTTTTCTTTTGTATTTGTCTTTTTATACTATCTTATGCCATTTACTCAAATATCTGTGTTTCTGGTGTTCTTGATGTATCCCTGAAAATAAATGCTAACTAGTTCTTCTCAGCCCAATGAATAAACTAGTATAAATGAGAAAGAACTAGATGTAGTCTTTCCTTATTAGAGTAGTTTGCAATGCCTTTAAAGATAGTAAGCAAATATAAAAAGGAAGCAGATATTTTCAATATTCACTTTGTGTATGTTAGAACCCACAGTCTGGTGTGAAATTCTGAGATGAACCATCACAGGGCTACCAACAGTGTAGTATAACATGATGGAAGATTTAGAGCACTGGGTTCTAGACTCAGATCTGCCAATAATTAACTGTAACCAAATGAACTTCACTCTATCATTCTCTCTGCTCAGTTTCCACATCTCTAAAAGAGGAAGTGAGACTTGTAGAGCTCTGCAGTTCAATGAGTCTTTCTTCCCTTGAAAGCAGAGAGCTTCATATGTATACCGGGACTTACAAGCTTTCTTCAATGACAGGATGACATTAGGCTCTTCTAAATGAGCTTAGCCAAATGCCACTCCTCTGATCATATTCCAAGTGACGAAAGGTCATCCCCATAGTAGATAAACCGTGGGTACAGATGGAGCTCATGGAGAATGATTTGTCCCGAGCAAATGACATTTACTTTGGAGGTAACTAAGGCAGGAAGGCAAAAGAGTAAATCCTCATGATGATATAATACAAGGTTTAGAGTCAAATTTTCAGTTATCTAAATATCTTGGCTCACAGAGGTTGGCATTGGCCCTAAGGGATTCTTTTATATGACATTTAACCCACATGTTTGCTTTAACTTTTTATGTATTAATATAAACATTTTTATTAGTTATGTCATTAATATTGAATTTTTACTTTTAAAATATTTCCCCCAGAAGTGAAAAACCACTGATCCACTTAATTTCCTGATCTGTTTAAGGTACACTGAAGTTTAAAACTTTTAGTTATCCCCTTTTATGTTAAACTGAAATCATTTTACTCAAGATAAATGTTTTCCATAATTTTACAATAATAATTGAATTACCATTCAATTTTTATCCATAATAAATTTACCAATTATGCTTTTAACAATATGAGGTTTTTCCTTTTATTTTTTTAGTAGCCATTATCTTTATCAGACACTATTTTCAAGGACTAAATTTTGCACATTCTAACCTTTCCATTTACCAACAGCCTTCATCCACTTTTTGCGATTTATACCAGTATAAATAATTATGTGTTAGATAAATGATAGATAACTTGTGTCTTTTTATTAAGTAAATCTATGAGCACAATAGAAGTAATTCCCCTTGAATTTTAGGACTATTCATTCCCCCAGAGCTGATGTTATTAATCCTGTTCTTTCCTGTACTTCTGATTACCTTGTACATTGTGTACTAAAGGTTCTTATCCTCACAGAGCAAGGAGGAAGGAATGCTGTCAAGATGATATACACAAAGATGGCTTGGTGCAAAGTGAAAAGATACAAAACAATGGGCCAATTCCTCATTTAACCCATAAAAATCCATCTTATTCACTCACTGTGCAAGAAGTTACTGAACACGAATGTGCCAAGTACTATTCCAAGCACTAGGGATACAGAGTGATTGGGGAGGGGATGAAAAGTCTTTTCATCATAAAGCTTGCATTCTAGTGGACAAAGACATCATAAATAAGATGTTGGTGTGTCTTGTGTGGTAGGATCAGCCAGAGAACAATTTGGGTGGTAGAATTTCCCTTTAATGGTATAGTCAGAGAAGGCCTCTTAGAGAAGGTGACATTGAGATAAAACTTGAATGATGAGGAGAAACTCACCTAAATACACATAATGAAATAGATGTCAGAATCTGACCAGTGGAATCCCAAAAGCAACTGTGGATCCAGTGGTCTCCATGTATTTTATTGATCAAACCATCTCATTATTTTAGAAATTTTGAGCACAAACAAGATAAATGTGTATTTCGTTATCTATAAATAAATGATTTATTTCCACAGTAATAATGTCTTAGAAAACACCCCACAGTCCAGAAGCTTAAAACATCAAGCATTCATTTAGCACATCAGTATAAAATTGAGCAGTTTAGTCTGACTTTAACTGGAAGGTTCTTCTCATTTGGTGTCACTTGTTCTCATGTCTGATGGTCAACTGTATGATAGATGGGAGTGGGGAGGCCTGGGCTGCACATCCCTCATATATAGAATAGGAATATGTGCTTGGCTGCGGCAAAGGGCAAGAGGAAGCATACCAGCCCAATCATGAAAGTGCTGTATTGCTTCTGTTCATATTTGCTTAATTTATTTAATTGTTCATATTTGCTCAATCCAAAGCAAATCATATGGCTGTACTCAGTCAAGAGGCCAGGCAGTTTGGCCCAACCAGAAGAGGAAAGCTCTGTGAAGTTAGGTGGCAAAGAGCTTGACTATGGGGCAATATAACAATTAGGCCCAATATTAACGTTATTCTACCTCAGCGGTATATTACTGCTCAAATATATTGCACCCATCAGAAAACATACACTCACAAAATGACAATTTCAAAATGAGGTTTAAAAAAATTATGATTGATATTGTGTTATGCAACTCCAGAACTATATTCCTTGTGGAATCTTTGTCACACATGAAAAACAGATTTTCTAATCCATTCTCCTATGTTTTTTAGTGTTTTCTGGACAACCCCAAACCTGACTTGCTTATAATAATCTTCCCTTTCTCTATGCCAAGGACCCTGAAACTTTCCTCCTTAATTCTACTTGGAGTTTTAGGAATACAGTCATTTTCATTATTGTGAATTCTCCTACAGCTGCAAAACAAATCCCTCATGGGCCCTTTCATCTGCAAAACCTGATGCATGAGGATATAAGATAGACTCGTCTTACTCGTCTGTCAAATGGAGATTATTTGTGAGTACTAATGTAATAAGAAACATATGTAAACTAGCCTGTTCTAAGACTGCAATAAATAGAAGCTACCATATCTGGCTAGTTGGTAGTCTTTATCACACAGAAGCAATAACCTTTGCTGCCAAATTTATTTTGGGGGAAATCAAAACAGAAGTGATTCCTTTTCTACTGGGGAAAAAAAAAAGACTGTAAAACATATAAAAGGGTCAGTTGTTCTGTCAAGAGAGAACTTCCCAGTGTGCAGATAAACAGGCCATGCCTGGAACAGCTCCAGCAATTTGGGGGTTCTCTAGGTTGTCTGTGAGTGAGAGATGTATGGAACAGATCAACAAGGACTGTCAACTCTATGATGAAGCTGTAATTATTGGCCTTTTGTGTGGGTATATTTTTAAGTAGAAAAGATCCATTGGACTATCAACAAACCATTTCATTCTGAGCCTTCCAGAGCAAGTTAAAGTTGTAGAAACTTAGGATGTGAACTCATTACTTCAGAAACTTCTGAAAAGAAAATTTATCTCATGCCAAGGGACCAAATAATTGCACCCAGAGATCTTGCTCTGATCTTTCTGTTTCCTCAAATATGTTATCCTTTCCTTGCAAAAAGTTGGCATCTGCAAGATCACTGAAGTTTAATTTAATAGATTGCTTTGAGGAGATTCATTTGGAAAAGTGAACTAGTCAGATTATAGTGTGGAAGACAGAAACCAAGGTGGGTATTTGGTATAGGGAAATAGATACATAGGTATTAAAAGGAAGAGCAAGAATAGCAACTGCAGAGAATAGCTGTTGCCTTAGAGCTAGGAAAACAAATAGGAGTAGGCAGTGTAATCAGAGCTTTGGAGCGCAGAGGAGGGGCACTGTGTAGCTGATGCACAGATTTTTAAGATGGCACTGGAGGTTGGTATGAGAAAAATGCCATAGGTATCTGCTTTTACTGGAGGGATGATAGAAACCAGCAGCAGCAGTTAAGATCCTTCTGACCTCATCCCACCATCCAGGCTCTACCATGTGCCTCCACTTGGTAGAATATAACCAGAAGACAGTAGGTAAGGGAATCCCAGTTACAGAATTACAAAAGTGTATGGAAAGTGTCAGGCCTGGAGTTGAGAGACACCAGGGAATGTCTGGCACAAGAGGGGTTAGAGTTCTCCTAGCTCCTTCAGAAACAGCACAGGAGCTATAAATGGGACAAGGGCTCATAGACAGTTAATGACTTTTGATCTTATGGGTCCCTGATTTAGAAATGGTCCTCTTATACATCTTCAAAATATGCTCTTCCCATTGTCCAGTATAACTTATGTGGAGCCTGATGGAGTTTTAGAGGGCAATGAGAGGTACTGAATAAGCTCAGGATACAGAGGACAGCATACTGGGTACCTTCTTGTGGGTAGATTAATAGAGCCCAGACTTGAAATGGTTTTACTTTCATGCACACATGCCTCCTTATTGTGCCACTTATGTACATGTTGGAGTATAACATACAGATGTAAAATATACAGGTGAGTGTTGTTCTCTTCAAGGTGATTGCCCATGAGATCATTCTAACAGTGCTTCCGCTAATCAAAACATTCTTTGAATTCCAATGAGGAATTACCTTCACAGATTGTGACATGTACATTTGCTTCTTTGTAATGGTACTACATATTTGCCTTTCTTGAGGCTGCATTCAGTATTTTAAAATTGTCAAAAGACATTTTGAGTTTAAAATTAGTACCTAGAATTAACCATCAAAGTGGACACAACCTTATATCAAAGTCTTGCCACAAGTATTTTGTGCAAATTATAATCAAAACAGGATTCCAAACATATTTCTTACAACAGTAGCATGGGTAAATATCATCTTTGAAACTGACTGCTTTGAAGGACAACATGCGCTGAAATATATAATAATCTTAGGCAGAAAAGGCCAGTCTTAACCACCTTCAATTCTTTGAGAAAACTAGAAAGCATATTATTTTCAAAAATTAGTTTTATTCCCCGAGGTCACAATTCCTAGATTCATGGTGTCAAGACTTTCTCTATGCCTATTTTTAAAAAACTTTTTACTGGTGCATTATAATTATACATAATAGTGGGATTCAGAGAGAGACATGGTAGCACAGTCCCGTAATCCCAGAGACGCTGGATGCTGACATTGGAGGACTGCAAGTTTGAGGCCAGCTTGGGCAATTTAGCAATATCCTCAACAACTTAACAAGAACCTGTCTCAAAATAAAAAATAAAAATTGGGGATGTAATTCAATGGTAAAGAGCCCTGGATTCAATTCTTAGTCCTGGGGGGTGGGGGGGAGAAAGAATAGAAGGAAGGAAGGAAGGAAAGAGGGAATAAAGGGATGGATGGATGGATGGATGGATAGATTCTCTGTAATATATTCATACATGCATTATAATTTAGTCAATTATTCTTCATTGCTTCCCTTTCTCTTCTTTCCCTCCTTTCTCTCCCTGGTTCCCCTTTTCTACTCTGATGGTTTCCCTTATATTATCACCCACCCCACCTCATTTTTTTTTTTTTTTTTTCCTCTAGCTTCTAATATGGGAAAATATACAACTCTTGACTTTCTAAGTCTGGCTTATTTCACTTACCATGTTCTCCAGTTCTATTTTCCTGAACATAACATAATTTTGTTCTTCTTTGTGGCTAACTAAAACTCCATTTGTGTATATATAGCACATTTTCTTTCTCCATTCACCCATTGATGGACATCTAGGCTGATTCCATAATTTGGCTATTGTCAGTTGCGTTGCTATAAACATGGGTGTGCAGGCACCACCTAATTCTTTATGAAGGAAACACATTCCTTTTTCGAAGTAGAAATCCAAATACAGTCGTTGTCAAGTTTTGGAGGAAAATTTGTCCTCATAATGTTTGGCAGGTCAGGGTTTGCTGATTAATGAGTAAGCAGCTGGGGGAAAGTCACATTCTGGCTTTGGGGATCCAAAGTTAAGGAAAATATGTATGTTTTCAGCAGAACGATAGTTTTCAGTTTACAGAACGGCAGGGTCAACCAATTTTTCTGGCTATTAAGTTGACTTGCAGACATTTTGGTCATGTTTCCAATCCAACTCCTACTAATGTGAGAAATCACTCCATGAGGTCACCTGGGTCAGTTCTGGGCCTTCAGGGTTTAATGTCCATCTAGGGAGAAATGGTTTGGCATATGGAACCTGGATTTTAAAAGAAGTTCCTACAGCCAAGGAATCTTAATTCCTCCCAGAGCAAGGAACAGATCAGTAATTGAATCAAATTAGCCACAAAATAGACAACACATAAATTAACTGTACATTTTGAAAAAATTCTTGGGAACCAATCGCACACAGCCTCCTAGCAGAAGAGGTCTTTTCTCTAAAATTAGAGAGCCAAGACACAATAGGCACATCAAATATTTATTCGTCTTTAAGCCAATTTTCTTTGCTTTTGACTTTTCACTCAAAGTTCAGCCAAAGAAGAAACAAAACACCAAGAAGTTGGGGCTGGGGCAAAGCAAAGCCAGTGTGGGATTAATCAAAGCTGAAAATAAGCACTGTCTTGATTATTTTCCTTCCTCTGTGTCCTCCCTCTGTCTCCGACGACCCCTACCTCCCCGCACACACATCCTGGATCCTTGGGTGTTGGTTCACTGCAAGGACTCCCAGTTGGATTTTCCTGGATGTTTCATATTCTAAAGCTACCCCCTCCTACCGCTCACCTCTGCACTCAAACTCTCTTTAGCCCTCCTCCAGGGGGTGTGAGTTAATGGTGTCAGTGACAGATGAAAATTACTGCTCAACTCACACACCTGAGTGTTTTTTAACTTTTGATGTGGTCGGTGAGAACACACACACACACACACACACACACACACACACACACACAAGCATCATCACAGCCTCTCATCACCCTTTTTACCCAGAAGTTAGGAAAAGCAGATTCTCTACAAGAGCCAGAGGGCACCCCTCCCCCTAATCTCCCTCAGCCAGCAATTAGCAGAAGTTAGGGAGGAGCCTGTTTCCACAGTCTGTGGATCTAATGAGCTTAACAGATGTAAAGCTCCTGGTAGAGAGCATACTTGGTCAATGTTGGTCTTTGCCACCCTTCGGCTGGGATGAGCTTTCAGATATGGGGTCCCTTGGATTTGCCTACAAGCCCTAACATTATTATTGCTCACACGTTCTATACCAGGTATTCCTTCATTTCCTGTAACAATCCTGTAAGGTGAGTACTATTCTCCCCATAAGTCAAAAGTAGAAACTGAGGTAGAGAGAGCTTAAATGACTCGCCCAACTCACATGGCTGGGAAGTGGATTCAGACCCAAGAAGTCTAGTGTGGTACCTGTTTCCTTAACCTCAGCTACATCATCCTGCCTCTTCTATGTTTGCTTGTTTTCTTCCCCTACAGGAAAGGCAGCACATCCCTCAGCAGTTCTCTCATCGGAGATGGAGCTCTGAGCCCTGAAACCTCACCGGAGAGCATGCTTTGTCTCACTTTTTTTTTTTTTTAAGTGAGGATTGAACCCAGGGGTACTTTACCACTGAGCTACATCCCAAGCCCCTTTTATTTTTATCTTTAGAGACAGGGTCTTGCTAAGTTGCTGAGGCTGGCCTTGAACTTGAGATCCTCTGGCCCAATGTCAGGATTTGCTGAGATGACAGGAATGTGCCACTGCCCCCTGGTACACTTTGTCCTTTTGATGGGCTGGACAGAGCTGTGATTCTTATCAGCTTCATCAGATTTTTCAGCTGACTCATTTCTCCATTTCATTCTTATTGGTCAATCAATCACACTTGTAAGTTCAAACTGACCCTTACATCTTCAAAACAAAAATGGTTTCATTTCTAGGCTAAAGGCCACTTCAGAATGGTCAGTAGGTGAATTTGTATGATTACTGCTATCTCCTGGAATATTGTGGCAACGACTGTACAAATCAATGGAGCAATAAGTACCACCTGGATTTGTGCAAGGCAGAATTTACAACTGTGAGCAACAGCATGGCTTAAGAGGCTTCTAGTAACTTGGCCAACAGTTTAGGGACCACAGGAAGCACATGAGGCATAAAAAAAAATGGGTCCCCAAGGGATTTTTCCCAAGTTTTTCTCTGGCTATACTAACTGATAACTAGTCCCATGGGTATCTGCATTTTAAAACAGAAGCTTGTTAACCTAAATAAATCTCTCATTAGTGGGATTTAAAGCAGTGTGACGAGTGGTAAGAAGAATTTCATGTGGAGTGTGCATAATTTGGGTCTGTGAGGTCTTCCAACAATACCTTCACAAAATAAGAAGTGTTTCTCTGGACGCTTGCAATTAAGGTGCCTTCATATAAAATATCTCCATTGAACTATATAACAACTCTGAGAAGTGCTCTAATTGTCTTCATTTTTAAAGATGAAAGGGAGACAATGGAGGCGCTGAATGCCATGATAGTGTGTTGAGTGCTATATATTTATTTTCTAAAATTAGTCTTCATAAGAATCATGGGAGTTAGGTGGTACCATCTAAGTATCTGAATGTTTTGCCCGAGGGGTCTCAGCTGGGAAGCGTCAGAGTCAGAATTTGAACACTGGTTTTTACTGGCTTTAAGTCCAAGCTCATTTCTAATACATTCGTGATCCAGGCCAACCTAGGGAATTCCTATCCTGATGCTGGCCCCAGCTGGGGACAGGGATAAGGAGATAATGACCAGCATTTATTGAGCACATTCTGCACCAGGAACTCAACATATGTTATCTTAAATTCTCTTTACAATAACCCTTTCAAGTAAGTATCTCTACCCCCATGTTATATATGAGTATCTATGGGAATAGTCAGGTTTCAGACCAGAGTCTTAGAGCTCCATAGCTTGTATTCTTTCCATGGCATAAGTCCTATTGGCAGACTTTCTGATACCCTCTGAAGCTGGCTCCATAAGAAGCTGTTACATGCCCCTAGGTAACTGCAGGGAGATAGAGGATGCCCTCCTGCCTGTTTCTTCTGTCTTTCTCCTCCCTCGTAATACTAACAGTTCCATTCTGCTTTCCCTCCATACAGGTGAGCCTCTCCACTGTGGGCTATGGAGACATGTACCCAGAGACCCTCCTAGGCAGGCTCTTTGCCTTCCTCTGCATTGCTTTCGGAATCATTCTCAATGGGATGCCCATTTCCATCCTCTACAACAAGTTCTCTGACTACTATAGCAAGCTCAAAGCTTATGAATATACCGCCATACGTAGGGAGAGAGGAAACGTGGATTTCATGCAGAGAGCCAGAAAGAAGATGGCTGAGTGTCTGGCTAGAAGCAACACACAGCCCACCCCAAGGCAATAGAATACTTCATAGGATTTGTCTCTGGTAGATTCCAGGAATTTTAAGACTTCATTTGCTCCCTTTGTTATTATGAATGGCAGCAAAAGAACATGTGGGGCAGACATACACAAAGGCATTCAGTTCATAAAATTCTATCTCTAGAAATATTCATTTTGGCCAGAATGCCTCATTTTGCTCATGCAACTGAGTTGCATGCAAAAACCTAACTTTTCCAATGATGCTGATGTTGAAAATGGTTTGAAAGGAGCAACATGTTGGATTTGTCTTTTAGCTTCTCTTGGCATCCATATTTTTGGAATTGAGTTCACTTGAGAGAATTTTCTTAAAGAAAATGAAGATGTTTTTGTTCAGTTCAGGGAGACGGAGTGTCACAGCAGGAACTATGTGAGCTTTGGAGGTAGACCAACCTCTCAGTCAAAATCCCAGATCTACCAAACTATATGATTTGAGCCAAGTTACCTTAACCCTCTGAGCCTCAGTCTCTTCAGTTATAAAATATAGGTAATAGCAACTATCTTGAGTATGAGTATGTAGATTAGAGACACTTGTAAATGCTCAGTGAATGATAGATGTTTAAGTTGTTGGAGTGGGTATTGTCTAATAAACTCTAGAACAGTGGTTCTCAATTAAAGGCAGTTTTGCCCCGAGGACATGTGGCAATGTCTAGGGATTTTTTTTTAATTGTCCATATTGTGAAGGAAAGAGAGGGAGGCTTCTGGCATCCAGTAGGTAGAGACCTAGGGTACTGATGAACATCCTACAATGCACAGGACAGCCCCCCAAACAGCAAATTATCGGACCCCCAATGTCAATAATGCCCAATTTAAGGAACTGGTCTAGACATGATGTGGGAGCCCCAATTTGACCTGTGAAATAAGCCTGAGTGTGTTAATTCCCTCTTCTTTTGAAAGGAACCCCTCATTGCCCTCATATCTCAGGCCTCTGGCCCTTCTCCTTTCCACAAAAGTGGGAAAAAAATCAAACCTACCTTTTGAGTAATTGCTCTGAGTCAAGACTGAACAAAGGGCCTTTACTCTGTGCTATGTGTCAGTTGGGAAACTAGGACCCACAGTGGGCCACGGTCATTTATCTCCCTGCAATTTTCTCCCTCCATAGGTCTATTGGAAATTGAAGTCTTAAAATTAAAGGCCTGTCTGAACTGAGCACACAGAGATTGCCCCTGTAACTAGAGCTTGCCCTGCTGTCAAATTTGTCTCCGAGTGTGACTGGGCCTATACCTGTGTCATATAAATAAGACTAATAGTTGCTTGTCTTCCAATGACAAGCACTGTCGATTGTATGCATAGTATATAGTATAGTATTTGCCCTTAACATAACCATAAATAAGATATTCTATTCCTTTTTTATTTAGGAAGCAATTTGGCTGCATTCATACAGCTTGTAAATGGTAGAAGTAGATTTCAAGCCTAGATCCATCTTGTCCACAAGGCACTTGCTCTGTCTAAACTTGCTCTCAAATTGCATCAGCATCACCCACAGGGCTGCTTAAAGCAGAATGCTGGATCCACCCTGTACAGGTGTCTCAGGCAATAGGTCCTGGTGGGGCATGAGGATTTGGGTTTGCATTTCTAACAAGTTCCAGGTGA